GAGAGCCTCCGGCAGGAGACCTGCTGAACTGTTCAAATATCAATAAATTGTACTTGGTGCTGTTGAAATCTATCAAATTAGTATGTTGACAAGCTAGTTCAAATTTGAACAGAACACAATCATGAGATGAAGATGCTGTTATGAAAATTACATTACAAACTCAATGTGACCAACTTGCAGGTGCTTCTTTTGTTCAAATTCAAAGGTAAATGGCAGCCTTAGAAAAAGGCCCACGCCATGAAAACTTAATGGTTTCTGGAATCTGCAGACTTGAAAAGCAGTTTGTATTTTTGTTTTTTAGCATAAAAATAGAGCTGAGGTGTTCACAACATTTTATACTGGATTTGAATGCCAACCAAGCTTGTTTATGTTTGTCATGCCCAACTAATGTCAGACAGTGTATTTATGAACACAGACATACAAACAGATTATCGTGTTAGTGACAAATGGAACCTAATAATTGTGTTAGTGACAAATGGGCCCTGTGTACCTGGGAGCGCACTGAGCACATAAATGCATACAAAAAGTGAATTGCGCTGCAGTAGAGGGTTAAAAAGTTTCAGAAGAAGTTTTTTACCTTGTAATGCGGTTGCTCTTGTCACGGACTTCAGCTGTCCTCTCTGCTGGAGAGTTGAAAGTTGGAAAGTGTGTGAAATTTAGTTTTTCGGGGAAGTGTTTTGCTAAGGGAATTAGAAGCATGAAAGAGTGATTGATAGTTATTACTGAAATGTGATTGAAATTAGTTTCCTTCCTTAGAGGTCTGAGTGAGGTGTAGACTTTCTAAGCAGGTTAAAATGCAACCAAACATAAGCAATCATAATTTCTTAGTGTGTTACTAAATGACCTGTATTTGTATAGCGCTTTACTAGTCCCTAAGGACCCCAAAGTGCTTTACACATCCAGTCATTCACCCATTCACACACAAGTTCACACACCAGAGAGTATTAAGGGGCAGAGATGTTACAGAGGATGTTACTCTCAATATTGTTAGCGCGTTTCAGGAGGACGCTGCTAATAAAGTTACACAATTACACAGTGAATTTGCATTTATTATTATATTTACAAAATACCACAGTTTTTCTCTTGGTTGTATCATTTTATCCACGACACCTTAAAGGCCGGTCCGTGAAAATATTGTCTGACATTAAACTGATCCATGGCGCAAAAAAGGTTAGGGATCGCTGATCAACAAGCATTGTGTCTCATGTCACCCTTCATTTCTTATCTATATCTGTTAAATTAGGATTTTCCATGATTTTCTTTTTCAATATTTGACTATATACATTAATGGAAATATAATCTATAAGGTGAAAACAGTTTGGAACAAGGTTAAAAAGTCAGTACGTTGGGAGTGCATTTGGCATCATAGTCATGGTAAAAAAACGAAGCTACTGCCAATCAGACATTCTCCAGATGTTACTATGTAATAGATCAAAATCTAATCTAATCTAATCTAATCTAAAAATGGTTCAAGGTACAAGTTCTGGGCTGAAAAGGGGTGAAAAATTTGAAAGGCCTTCAGAAAGCCTGGAGAGCAATTGCTTAAGACCACTTTAAAAAATGACAAGAATGTCTGCTTTGTTAGAAGTGAAATACAAGGGAACGAGTGGTGACTCTTGACTGCACTTTATTTGTCAAAATCTTTGTGTGCGAAACCCTCATAGGCAACTTCGCATTTGCCTACACAGGCAGCTCTAATGCATTTCATCATGGATGACGTTATGAGTATGACATCAACAGCTGAACTCTGTTTGCAGGTTCAGCCAATGCCAGCTTTAAATTGGCCCTCAGATTTAAACCTTAGTCGTAATCCAGTCTTGACCATGAATCAAAGTTAGAACCAATCTTTAACTGTCTTCACTTTTCACTTTCCCATCTGAGGCTCAAAAACTCAGTATGAAACTCTGAAAGGTAGAAGTACAGAACAGGCATACACACACACACACACGCACACACACGCACACACACGCATAGATCAAAACAGTGTGCACTCCTGAATGCTCCTCCCTTCCACCCCAATCCCCCACCCCCTGCAGTTTTCATACTTGGCATAGAGACAAGCTCACTACCCGTATTCATTTTATAAAGATGAAAACACAATCAATACAGTGAGCCGGGAATTGGAAGTCATTTTCATTAGAGCTGCTGAGAGTTGTGCAGTCATTACCAGCAGATAGCACAGGGGGCCCCGACTGCAGGCAGCCATTTGTATTCTAGACGCCTGCCCTTCCTCTCTCCTTGCAACCCCATCTTACCTCTTCCGTCTATCTATACCTCCTTTCCTAGCTTCATTTTTCCCTCCTCACAACATCCGATGCACCTATAGAAACATTTTCTTCTAGGTTATGTTTCCAACTCCATCTGAGAAAACAACTCATATTTCTAAATGTTTTTTTTTTTTCATTTACATTTCACTTCACCTACAGAACACTTGCAGCAGACACGGTCCTCTCTCTTTCAAGCCATCCACCACAGCCATTAAAAACACTTGTGGTTTGTTTGTTTGTTTGTTTGTTTTGGAAATGAGCTTCAGGAGCTATTTCATATTTTTCTTTTTCCTGGATTTTTGTGCACCCCCACCCCCCTCCCATTTGCTTGCTCCCTTCACACCAAATGTTTTCAAATGGAGGGAAACAAGTTAAAACACCACAACAAAATGCAACAAGAGAGACCATCAGCACATGCTCAGGGGAAATAACAGTAGCTGGCAATGGCCATTGAAAGTTGCAGCAGCAAAATAGAGGTGTTTTGTCTTTTTCTTTTCTCTTCACCCTCTGTGACTCTGGGCACTTTGAGCTCATTGTCATAAAAATGGAATCTGTCACCCTGCTATAAACCTCAGTCAAGGTAGAAAAGAGAACAAAGAAAGACGCTTGGTAGGCAGCCACCTACAGAGCTTCTCTAAGTATACAAGCGTGAAAAGTCTGCAATTTCAAGACAAGGCTGGTGCACGGTTATTGTTACTTTTAGAGGTATGCAAAGGTACAGATGTCATTTCAATACATCTTATTTACCATTATTTATTGTTGCTTTAAACTAAAGACAAAAAAAGATTAAGCTGTGTTAGTTATCTTCAGAGAAATGGTAATCTGTTACCACATGTGGGTAAAGTTGTTAAAAGGACCTGTAAATGTATGTCTACTGTAGGACAATCATATACTGAAGTGTTTTTACTGATTGAATCAATTTGCTAAACCTCCCTGGAATGAAACAAAAAGAGAAACTGAGATTTAGATAAAAAGACAAACATGACATTGTGACACAAAGACTTTGGTCTTTTTTTTCATGAAATCTTAGTAGTCAGAGTATTACTACGTAAGCGCAGTGTACCACAAACATACAGTCATTTGCAAAACAAAACAAACTGACCTCTGAAAACAAAGAAACAAAGAATGGTGGGCTACTGTGATACTGACTGCACTGTGAAAAAGGTATTTGAGCTTGAACAAAACATGCAAACAATTAAGCAACAGTTGTCCAAGATCGGATACTGATGTCAGTCCAGAGGGTTGTTTAACTTGTTCATTTTTATATAACCAAAAGTGCAAAACAAATGCAGACCTATAACCTCCTAAGACCTGAACTCTTCCAGAGCATGCATTTTTAATTTCTCTTTGATATTTGGGCATATTGGGGCCCGATGAATGTAAAAACAAAGAATTATCAAATGTTTGGTTTTTTTTACCTGATTTTTGTTGCTAAGAAAAATGAGAGCCACAAATGAGGATATTTGTTAGAATTTTGATAGAACAGTAGCAGTATAATGTCCTCGTAAGTGGATATCAGGCCCTTGTAGAGCAAAATTGAGTATTTTGGTCTAAATAACCCAAAATGTGATGTCCACATATGTGGACGGCAGGTCCTAGGAGGATAATATAAAAAAGAAAAAGAAAACTCAAAAGATGGAAGTTCTTGGTTGCCTGTGGGATGCCATGAGATTTGTGTGTGTGTGTGTGTGTGTGTGTGTGTGTGTGTGTGTGTGTGTGTGTGTGTGTGTGTGTGTGTGTGTGTATTGCTTGACCTTTACTCTGGGGCCAATCCTTAATCATTAGTTGGCCATACAAGATAATTATTTGGTAGATTGACAGGAGATTTATTACATGCATATTGCCCATATATGAAACCTATAGCGAGTACATTAAAATGGTAATATAACCTTGGTACCGTTGCCGGTGCTTGCTGGACTGTCTGATCACTGAGGTTCTGTCTTCAATATTACATAGACCCTATAATCTATCGGCTTTACCTTACAGTGTAAAACACTGTTGTTGTGAATTGCCATTATATATTTTTTAAAAAAGTATTACTTTAAAAAAAACAAAAAATATATAAATATTAACATTTTCTGTACATATTCTAAGTATGTATGGCTATAATGTTACAATGTTGTTGTTTTTTAAAGAAAAATAAAAGGAATATAAAATAATGTGAGAAGAATTTTAATCTTCTCATAATTTGAATGACAGTGTGATTGCATTTTATGGTTTTTAAATAAATAAATAAATAAATATATATATGTGTGTGTGTGTGTGTGTGTGTGTGTGTGTGTGTGTGTGTGTGTGTGTGTGTGTACACACACACACACACACAAACATAAGATACATTTTCACTTTCAACCTTAGTTGTTAGTCATACTAAATAAAGGATCATGAAATAGAACTGCCAAGATTCAGCTTTGAAATATCAAGAAAAAAAATTGATGAGAAGTACTTAATGAAAAGGTTTTTTAAGTAAGAATTAGTTCAATGTATGTTGAGGACTCTAATTGGTTCCCACTTTTAAACGGCATGAAACTTGATTTTACAATTCATTCACTGATAATATGAATGCCGTTCATTTAAAACAAGGTATGCAGTATGAAATATATATACATATATATATAATATAAAAGGTATTGCTGATATAGGGGATCAATAAAAGATCTAAAAGACTGGCCGAAACTAGCTGATGAAGAGCAATGTGATCTTACTCCTGTACTTACTCTGGTGTTTTAATTTCAGGCCACAGCGGGTGAACTGGTTGAAGGTGGATGATGACGTACCTTCCCATGCAGTTATCACCGGCGCCGATCTTTACATTGAAAATCTAAACAAGTCCTACAATGGAACCTACCGTTGTGTGGCATCCAACTCAATTGGAGAGGCTTACGATGACTACACCCTCTATGTCTATGGTACGTTCATCTATCACTGATCCACTAATATTTTATTATCTCTTACTGAACAAACTTCCAGGTCTTTTCCTTTACTTTCTGAGGCTTTCTTTCTTCAGAGGACCAGTTCTAATAAAGTATGAATTGTTGCTTCCTTGTACTCTCTCTGAGCTATATTAACATTTAAAGATCTTCAAACCTTTGGCCTTTTTGAAGAAGTTTTAGGAGAGTGAACATAAACAGCAGAATAATTTATTTGTAGAGTGATGAATGATTTTTAAGACTGGTAAGCAGTTAACTCTGGTGCTCATTACTAGCTCTTGGAGCACACTGAATACTCTACTGGCATAATCCAGAGTATGCAGGCTGACTTTTAAATACGGTCTCTGTTTTATTACAGCATAGACTTATTATATTTATATGAACAGCTTGTCACTGTACTCTATTCACTTTGTTAACCTAACTGCCATGCACCTTCATGTAGGAAATACATTACAAAAACATTTGGTCTCTAATAAACTTTTAAATGCATGATTATTGTTATTTAAACAGGATTGTTGTTCGTCTCACTTGTGCCTCAGTAACACACCTATGCTCAAGCAAAACACGAAGATCCTGTCTCACAATTGTGTCTTTGTATTTTGACTGGCTATTTTAATTAGACACATTTTTGCATACACACATTTTAGATTTTACAAACAAATTCTTGTGACATATCTTGAAATTTTAAATACTTTGCTGCAAAAATGGAATTCCATATATAAGAAGGAAATGTATTGTTAGTTTGACTAGTGGATATAACAAATATAACTTAATAGTTAAACTCTAAAGTTAGAAAAATAAAAAATATCACATTTTTTTCACTAGGTTTCACTAGTTCACTAGGTAGTGTGGATTAGTTCCAGACTTCTGAATTTAGCTCTGAGCGTAATAAACTAAAGTTCCTTTAGGCCCTAGAAGCACACTAGAAGGTGGTCGGCAATTGGAGAAAACAATAATGGCTGCAATTCCCTTCAGTGTGTGGTTTGCTCAAGAAGTAAACATCACTACATCTGCTCCATTGAGTTATTGCATTTTGTTTTTAATATACTGGCCCTGAGACCACAGAGTATTATTACATCCTAATATAGCTTAAGTGATTTTTATGTATGTGCCCTAAAATTTGCCTTAAATGGCTTTATGATCTTTACAACATATACCACAATAATACAGGTAAGCAAAAATTACTTTTAAAAGATGATGCAAAGTATGCCCTCAGCTTGCTGCCTGTATGTTGGAGTTGCTTGAGGATGCTCCACCTGTGGACTCTGTTGTCCTCTTGATAGGCTCCAATGCTCATGTGGGCGTGATTGGGAGGAACGGCCTGCCAGATCTGAACTCGAGCAGTGTACTGTTACTCGATTTCTGTGCAAACCACAGTTTGTCCATAACAAACACCACGTTCAAACAGAGTGTCCATAGTGCATGTGACACCAGGGCACCCTAGGCCGCATGTCGATGATCGATTTTGTAATCGTTTCATCAGATCTGCAACCATATGTTCTAAACACTTGGGTGAAGAGCAGTGCTGAGCTGTCAACTGATCACCACTTGGTGGTGAGCTGGATGAGGTAGCGGGGGAGGATTCTGCACAGACCTGGTATACCTAGACATGTGCCAGAGGTCCCTGTCCACAAGATCTTCAACTCCCACATCCGGCAGAACTTTGACAGCATTCCAAGGGAGATTGAAGGAGGTCACTGAGGCAGTTTAACAACTCCTTGGTGGCAGATCCCCTGGGGCTGATAGAATAGAATAGAATTAGAATAGAATTCAACTTTATTGTCATTGCACATGTCACAAGTACAAGGCAACGAAATGGAGTTTGCATCCATCCAGAAGTGCTTTAGTATAGATATATTACAAGACCAGTGTTGGGTAAGTTACTTTAAAATAGTAACTTAGTTACATTACTAGTTACTTCTCTCAAAAGTAACTCAGTTACTTCAAGTTACTCGTTACTTTCAAAGTAACTAGTTACTAGGAAAAGTAACTTTGGTTTTACTCAGAATTCTCTTGTTAATGTGTTGCTTCCATAACTTTGCAAGTCTTCTAGCTTGCTTACTTGCCACAAGTGCACTGTGC